GGCAGCCGCCTCTCCCGCGCCAGCCTCCGCTCGCTCGAGTTCTTCTCTTCTCACCGCCGAAAGCGCGGCAGCATCTGCCAAAAGGCGGCGAGCCAAGCGCGGGAGAAGCGCTTCACCTTCGTCCTGGCCGTGGTGATGGGGGTCTTCGTGGTGTGCTGGTTCCCCTTCTTCTTCACCTACAGCTTGTACGGCATCTGCCGGGAGGCCTGCCAGGTCCCCGAGACGCTCTTCAAGTTCTTCTTCTGGATTGGCTACTGCAACAGCTCCCTCAACCCCGTCATCTACACCATCTTCAACCAGGACTTCCGCCGGTCCTTCAAGCACATTCTCTTCGCGCCGCGCCGACCTCGCCCTTTTCTCCTGCCCCGGAGGGACCTCTTCCCAATAACGAGGCCGAGTTCCCTGGAAACCACACCTGCCGGACTAGGGAAGAAGGGGCTGGGATGGGGGATGGGGCCCCGGGGTGGGCCTCAGGAGGCGACAGCTTTGTGAGGCAGAGCGGCAGTGCCCGGCGGGCAAGAAAGAAGGAAGGCCCCGCGCGCCGACCTCGCCCTTTTCTCCTGCCCCGGAGGGACCTCTTCCCAATAACGAGGCCGAGTTCCCTGGAAACCACACCTGCCGGACTAGGGAAGAAGGGGCTGGGATGGGGGATGGGGCCCCGGGGTGGGCCTCAGGAGGCGACAGCTTTGTGAGGCAGAGCGGCAGTGCCCGGCGGGCAAGAAAGAAGGAAGGCCCCGCTTGACCCCAGGGCCCCGCCGGTGGTGTTGGCTGGCTGGCCTGCCTGGGCCCCGCCGGGCCCAAGCAGAAGCCAGCATTCTCTGCCAGCACAGGGAAAGAAGGAGTCAAGAGCCCGCCTGCTACCAGACACTCACAATTTTTTATACCCAGAAGAATTTGTACAACTTGCCAAGACTTCGCTAAAGAGTTTTCCTTAATAAATGTTTCTAATCTGTTCTAAACCTTGCTGAACTCTTTCTGTGCAGAGGTGACATTCCTCCCGCCCCCCACTACAGTTACATCAGCTAGGGGCCCACTGGCATTTTCTGACCCCCTTCAGGGAGGACTGAAAGATGGGTAGCTCAGGCAGATTTCTCATGCATTGGGTACCCTGCATGATACACTTGGGCACAAGTGTATCTCCTGATGAATTGGGATCATCCAGGGTAAGGGGTTCATGTAGTGGCCTATCTTACTTCGGGAAAATTTAATTGGAAAATACAACTTACCAAGAGTCTGTACTATGTGTCCTTTTTCTATTATGGCACACAGCTTTGTATTATGTATTAAAGATCTGTTTTATAATTTATTTTTAAAGTGGCAAACTTTTCTGAGATGAATTTTGAGATCCCTTCACTGTCAAAAATAACTGGTTGACAGAGCTTTCCCTCTGCCCAGTTATCAAGAGAAGAAACCTTTCTAGCTGGTTCTTCCACTCCCACAGTTCACTGCTGGGAATGGCCTGTAAGTGCAAAGGGAGACTTGCTAAATTATATTATGCATATCACTTCCTCCAGATAGAGTAGGATGTGGCATCTTTCTTCAGACCTTTCCTTAGTAATCTCATTCCACTGAGATTAAACTAAGCTTAATTGGATAAAGGCTGGCATCTTCAGCTACCAAAATCTAATTGATAACCTGCTGCCAGACACCAATTGCTTTTCAGTGTCTCCTCTCCAAGAAGGAGAAATGGACTAAAGCTCTTCAGTGCAGAGATGGATGGCATACACTGCTGTTCCCTCTAGCATCTGTCTGGTTTCCATGAAAATTTTGTCTTCCAGCATTCAGCCCTGCCAAGCTTGAGTTATCCCAGTGCAGTGTTAATGTGTATCTAGAAAATTCTGCCATGTATTCCAATCTCACCCCATGATAGAGGTGGGGCAATAATTAGAGAAGATCTAGGCTCAACCAGGAGGAGAGAAAGAAGATATATGGAGGGGGAGGGGAGGGGAGAAGGAATGACTCTGGGTTCAGCTGTCAGTCTTCTCCACTTGTTGAAACTCATCAATACTCCAACAGAAAGAAGAGACAACACAGGAAACAAAGTTGGTCAGCAACATAGTATGGAACTCTATGGGAGACAGGCTTGAGTATAGATTAAACTGGGATTGTTCTTTTCCACACAAGTAGAAGAAGGGAAACCAGAACGGACATCCTGGGTATGGGGCTGTGGGACATAAAAGTTGTTATTTTCCTGAATATACCATTTTTATTTTGTTTTGGGTAGGGGAATTTCTTATATGCTTTGTGCACAGAATAAAGTCTGTAACTGTGCAGATCCACATAGCCTTACAGCAAAGAGGCTGCTATACATGTTGTACTGCAGGGTAGTGCTGGTGGGGTATTGGGTTTTATTTGTTTACCTAATTTAAGCCTCCTTGCACATATGTTTAAAAATGAATTTCCAGTTGACCAATCAGACACTCTCCAATCAGGAGTGGTTACAAGAATATGTTAGATGAAGTTTGTATGTCCAAGAGTTGTTGAACTGAATAATTAATTTCATTTGCTGGTAAATTTCTGAACCAAAAATGTTTTTAAAAAAGCAAGGGAAATCCACAAGGAATATCAACAAAACATTATGAAATTTGAATATTTGTAAGTAAGTAGTGTGTGGTGCTGATTATTCTGTGTATTTGGCCCTACCATGGGTTTCCTTACACTTCTCTTTAAGGGACCATTTTATATTTATAACTTCTAAGATTCCTGTGATTTCCATTATTAATTTGTAATGAAATTCATGTGGGTGATCTTTTCAATCTTGCAGTGAAACAAGGAAACAGATTATGATGTATTCCAGATCTTGCTTTTTGAGGGGTTTTGGCAGAGTATGCTATATGATTTATCAAGACTCATGCTATCAAGACTAGGTCAACATATCAAAATCAGTGGCAATATCAACTAATGTTAACTTCTGCGTGTACACATGCTACAACGACTCATTCTAGAGTTTATATATTCAGACTGTTTTTGAGGGGAAGGTGTTAAGAGTAATTTATTCCTGTCCAATACAAGCCAAAATGCAGCTTTGGAATTACACACTCAGCTAGGTTCAAAACCCTGGAATATTTTCATTTGTGAAATAGAACTGAGAACCAATTCTTCTTGTCATTGGTAATGTTCCAAAATGTTTTCTAGTTGGGAAGCAGGATGAAAGTTCACAAACTTCAACAAAAAAAATGTTGATTGTGCTTCTATTTGACATGGACCATGAAAGATTCTAGTAGTTTGACTTTTAAAATATTTTTTTCAGGGACAAAACTGAAATGTGCTGATGCCGTGAAATACTTCTGTAAAATATCAGTTGGTGTGAAACTACTATGGTGGAAATTTTCAGACAGGTTAGTTCTGTGTGTGAGAGAGGTTAGGGAGATATTGCCCATGGTTCATGTACACCTGCAGGAACATTGTGAATGGTTCACGGCTTTCCATAGCCATAACTGTGGGCTATAGTGTTGATGTCCTCCTCTCGCAGAACAACTTTTGGTCAGCAGAATGGCACATCTTCATCAGCCAAACCCAGCAAGCCAGAAAAATCTGCTATTTAGGATTATTCAGCACATCATCCCAATAAATAATATAATTGCCAGAACAACAAAGCCAGCTAGATCTGTTTGAGACTTTGGCAACACTATATCTCTGTTTAGACATTATTATTACAGAAGCTTGCAATAGCAGAATGTAGAGAGTATAGGAAGGCCTTTTGGGTAAATGACTGTTACCTTCCTCTTGCAGTTTCTGCAGAAATCAGGTTGTTTGACAACTTAATATGTACCTCAAAGTTTGCAATTTGCTGCAACATACCCCAAAGTGCCTTTAACCATGCCAATAGCCTTTTTTTTGAAGACATCCACCCTGTTGTGGTTCTGGAACACTAACAAGTTCTCCGGCAAAGTGACCGGTAGTCAACAGCTGCAACAACATTTTTAATAGCTAACAGAATTATTGTTAGTTTTGTCTTCGGAAGTTCTGTATATCTGATGGAAAGAAATACTTCTCACAGTTTTGTATCTATACGAGGCAAAGGCTGTGGCTCTATGTTAAAGGGGAACAGATGAATGATTTTCCATCATTACAACCATGAACGGAGTGAGGCTGGCAGATAGGTGCTCTGGCATACACTCAGAAAGTGGCACAGAACTGCAACATGGCAACATAGGATAATACTGGGGATGCTCTATGAAGATTTCAAAGGAGACAGATAAGAAATTGTTTATTTGTCAGCGTTCCAAATTTGAGGTGTGATTTACAGCACTTTGAAAGCTTCCCTAATTCTTTCCAGAGACTTTTTCTTGGGTTGGACCTTGACGGGCAGTTTCTGTATATGAGGGACTCTTCTTTTGATTGGTGGCACTATCTACTACAGTAGATGCTGAGAATTTAGCTTTGGAAAAAGTGGAAGGAGATTTCTCTTGGGGGCTAGTGAAATTTAGTAAGATTTTTTTCTAGGTAAGGAAAAGAGCAACCATTACAGCTGAATGGTGTAACTAATGTTTCTTTCCATGGCTCCTTAGCAGTAAAAATCTGGCCACTTCTGAGTAGCTCATACATTCATTTTGTTTCTTTTATATCAAATTGCTCAACCCCTCCAACCTTGTATTTCATAAAAGGAAAGGATTCCTGGAGTGAGAAAGCATACCCAGTACAACAGATAAACATTTGAAAGGTACAACTTTGGTTATCATATGAGAACAGAAGTTGTTCTATTTGTACTTCACCTCAAGACAGTCAAATGTTCAACAGGTGCCGTTCCCACCACCAACTGTTTCTTCAGTAGCAGAAACTCTGCCTACAGAGTTTCTGTTTAGGCATCTATTTTAATCAGGAGAATTAGTAACAAGAATAGGCCTTGTAAACAAGTGTCTTCTGCAGACAGATGCATGCATTTATTCACATTCTGAGATACATGTGTATAAAGGATCTGTGGGCCTTGACAGTAGTGTGCCTTACTCGATTTGTCTCAGGAACACTCATTCACACTAGTTCTATTTCTCCCTGTGTTTTTTTCCTTTTTTTCACTGAAGGGATAAAAAATTTTATACACAAAAATAATTCTTTTGGGAATAGCTTAGCTGGAATGGGAATCCAGTAATAGACTATGTGAATTCTAATTCTAACTGATACATAGCAAAACAAGGAAACTAAAACCAAAGACCACCCCCCAATACTCTTGCCTACCAAATAAATACAGAGAAAAAGTAGTGTGTTCACACATACACACACAAGTACAAAGCAAAAAGGAAAGCATGCTGCTTATATACCACCCCATAGCACTTAATGCACAATTTAGCTATGGTGTCTACACATTGCCTCTCCCCCGCAATTTTACCCTACCTGGGATTGAACCTGCTTTGTGAGCAGAGTTCTGGCTGCAGTACAGCAGTTTAATAATGGTGTCATGAAGCTCTCAATGCATGCCTGCTTATACATACACAAACAAATGAAGAGTAAATCCTTTCACCAAGCTTAAACATGCATGACAATGGCTACAGTTG